TGAACAAAGAAGGATTTGCTGTTAAATCCCTTGAAAATTCAAGTGCATTTTCCTTAGAGATGTCAGCCCAGTGAGGTGCAGGTTAATGTCATACTTTTAATATTTATACTGAAACCTTAACATCAGGAATGTCCCAGTAGGAGGCTGAATTTTATTTCTTTGTCTCTGTGTGCATGTAACCATCTGTGAAGCCTGTAGTAGATGGTTCTAGAAAGGGGAGAGTAAGTGCATAGATTGTAAAAGAAAAATCACCAAAATCATAATATTTAAATGCTGTATCTTATAGCAACTAAACAAGCAAATTTTAAAGCAGAAAGTTTACATTTACTGTTAAAAACTAAGAGTGTGAATATTCTTTCTATTCTCTCCCAAGTTTTTTTACCTTTTATGGGAAGAGCTGAGGAAACCTACCTGGTAATGTATGAAGTGCTTTGCATTTCTGCATTTGCCACAGCACTTCATATCCTGAAGGTGTATTTTTAAAAAGTAAAAGTTCTAACCCATACATCCAGTGCCAAATTCAGAGTCAATATGTGACATGAACAGGATGAGTCTTGCAAACATCGTAAATGTAGCGATGACTTGAGGTTAAATTTAGTGCAGCTCCGAAAGTATTTACAGAAATGACTGTACTATCAAAACCATATTCAGACTTGTTGATTATTTACTGACATGTTTGTAGTTAATTCCTATTGATTTTTATCGTATCTGATTATGAAACAATCAAGTCCATAGGGCTGTCAGCATTTTTCTGCGACTGGTGACATTTAAAAGCTTGGCAGGAGAATAGATCTGTTGAAACTAGGTCAGTGAATGTAAAAGAAGAGTTACTTTTTTATTTTTCAATGCTTTAACATAAGTACATTGCAATAATGTATTTTTTTTTATAATGATAACTTCGTGCAATTATTGGAAAAATAGAAAATGGAAAGTTAATTTCATGTGATATATGCTATTTTTATTTCTTTAGTAATAGAAGACAATTTTCTGATATAATAAGAAACTGTTGAGTGTAGTTTAGTCTTGCAAAAGATTTGGTTTTTGCTATTCTTCAAAAAAACATAAGGTTGAATTCTGATCCAACAGAAGAGTAGCTCTATAAATCTAATATGTTTTCCTTTAAGACTTTTAGACATGGTTGGAAATCTAGGACATACATAGTGTTTTGAACAAATTGTTGAAACAACTATAAAAGATTTTAAAAGTGTATGGCTTTTTCTTTTGGAATTATCACTAAAACACAAAATCAGTCTTGATGAACTTATTTTGTTAAGGGTGAAAGGAGACAGACTTTTACGAGGCATTTATCAGAACTCCTGATCCTATAACATACTCCTCCTGCTTCTAAAGACAGTATTTCAGATCTCTCTGTGGTCTTGTGTGCTGCACTCATATGGGCCTCACAGTATCTGATCCAAACAATAGTGCAAAATCCTTGCTGTTGGATCCCTTTGCCTGTCTAGGGTTGTTTTACCATGTTAGAAGTGACTGTGATTGTTCTTTTTCTGAGAATACCAAACACATTTCCATTAAGAGCTGGAAACAACACTAGATTATTTGCAAATGTGGACAGCATGACACTGTGTGCAACGATGGTATTGAAAAACCTCCTGCAGTTGTTTATTCTGTGTTACATTGTGTGACAGGACCCCAAGTTGACCTGAATTTGGAAGTGGAATTCTCAACATGTCTTACTGGCATCAAGCATATTGTGAACCTCAGGGGGCTTGCAGTTTCTGAGGAGTAATGTTTTAAAATCCAAAAGAGAATAAGAAAATGTGAGACAACAAATGGCCAGGCTTCCTCCCTGCATCTATGCCCCATCATGTGTATTCCTTAGAGACAGTCACCAGAAGGAGGAAGAGACACTACTAGAAAACAAATAGGAACAGGAGGTACTTTGGTATGGTTGGAGCTGAATAAAACCACTGAAAGGGCAGAATTTATCAGGAGTATAAGTAGAATAGAAAGACCTGCAGTGCTTCAGGGCCAGGGAAAGATCACACAGTTTATTGCAAAACTGCCTCTTAGCAGTGTGTAAAGCAAACCACAGGAATCAGAGGTACCCACTGGGTTTTACACAGAGACAGGCAGTTTTTAGACTGTCCAATAAAGGGTCAGACCAGAGGACTATTACTATTATTGTTAGGAAAATTATTTGTTTCCTATGGCCTCCCAGAAGGGGTAATGTCAGACAAACCTCCACAGTTTATTTCAAAGGAATTTGTAGCAATTATTAAAGTGAATTGCTGACATATAGGATCTTGTAACAGCCAAGTTTCAAATCAGCAGTAGAATGAAGATTTATCTGACTTGAACAAAGACAGATTTTTTTTTTTTTAAGGAAAAGACTGTGAACCTGGATTTTGAAGTTTAGGTGAAAAGTTTCAAGCCCAGGAAAAAGCATGATGGAATGTAGATCTTGTGTGCTGGCCTTATTATTCTTATTCAAGGTTGTGACTACTAATATTTCAGAACAAGGAAGTATTCTTGATTTTATAAGAGGTTATATAAATTCAGCAATAGATAATACAGATCTCTAATTTGTAAATGCTTATCAATGTGCTCTTGAAAATAATCTGAGTAAAAGCAATAGGGATGTTTTCATATGCAAAAGTGTGTAACATCTAGTGTTTGTGGTAATTATTAATAGGAAATCCTCACTTGCATTCCATCTGACTGTAACTCCCTCACATGGCCAAACTTGACCAAATTGTATTTATCTGAAGGGATGTGCTTAAATAGGAGTAAACTCAAGTTCTGAAAAGAAGTAGTAAAAATTACATTGAAGAGTAATTAATATTTGTATAAGAATTTAACATAAATCTGAGGTCCCAATAGAGCCTTGTGTGTGTGCATGCATTTGTGTTTTGGCTTTTTTTGTTTGTTCAGGTTTTTAATTCTTTTGTTCACACACCACAAAGCCCCTACACCCCTTTCTTTGAACCTCTCTCCCTTGTCTGGGACCATCAGCTTTCCAATTTAGTTTGGATGTTATCTTCAAATAAGAATTTCTGCAATGATACTTCTGTACCTAACATTGTATGTGCTGCATTGGCTGCCTTGACTGCACTTGACATACTCTTTGGTGGAAGATGGCATACAAATTAGCTCCTTATGAAAACATATGAGTTTGATATGTGTAGTGGGCTTGGGGAAACCATGGAGTTCTTCAGGATTTATTCCCAAATTGGGAGTTTGGACATCATTCTTCACTGCACCTGTCTTTATCTCAGATGCCAAGGAAAAGATGCTTGTAATTTTTCCATGTATTTAAGAAGAAGATGGCAATAACAAAAAAACACCCACAAAACCAAAACCCCCACAAAAAAGTGTTATAGAGCAAACCGGTTTCATTGCTATAATAGCAAATTAAAATAAATCATGTTGCAACAATCTTCTTTTGTCTGAATGTAAAAAAGAAGAAACTTCCACTTCTCAGAGTTGAAGTAGTTAACCAAGTAAAAAACTAATAAGTAGTTAAACTTTAAAGAAAGGCTTTAAAGTGCTCTAACCTGTTATACCTGATTTAGATCATGTATTTACAGTTCAGAGATATCTGTACTTTCTGCAGCAACCCTCGTATATGGTTCAGTGTAATCAATTATTAAAAACCCCGGGCTTTTAAAGAAACACATAGAGGTTATACTTTAATGTGATCATGGGTTTGTATTTTGCTATTGGATCGCTGAAGTTTTAGGATGACAGAATTTTACTTGCAGCAATTGTCCCTGCCATAAATTTTGTTACATTTTATATTGTGAAAACAGAGAAATTGTGGCTGGTTGCTCCCAGTGTTTGTGGATTAGAGATCATGTGACAGTTCCCTTTTGTGATGTATTCTGATGTGGATATCTGCTTTTAGCAGAGGACCCCGTGGAAGTTGGTTTTTTTTCTGTTTAATTCAGAGCAAGGACAAAAGGTCAGTCAGAAGCTCACTAGAGATCTTGAAGGTCTTTTTTGCATTTGGCATCGATTCACCTGCCTGTTTCTGTGTTCAACTGATGCTTGTAAAGAACAATTTGTATGAGAAAAACAAATTTTCTGAGAAGGTGGATTTAGCACAAGGCTAAGTTGCTGTGTATGGTGCATTTCTCTACAAGTATGAAGTAGAAAGAGAAGAATTCAAAAAAAGGGAAAACTGTATTGGGCCTATAATACTTTGGTTTTCTGACTTCCTCCCCTGCAATGGGTTTTCTTTTTTCTAAAGTGAAAACAGAACCCATCCTTCAACTCTTGATAACCGAGGTATTTTATGTGTAATAGAGTCTCCTGCCTGCTCTCCCTGCCTTTCTACGTGAGTTGTTGCTTACAGTAAATACTGTGCATACAGTCATGGTTGGCTAAGAACAACCTTGTCTAAGAACAATCTTGTCTAAGAACATCTGTGTGATATAAATATGCATATATGCATAAACACTTATCTTTTATTTGCATATATGGACATATAATCATACTTGTCTTTACAGCACAGAAATGTATTGTTCTATGCATAATGTATTGTATATTATGCATGTATTATAACATGTTTACATAAGCAGTTACTAACTTTTTCTTACCATTTTGTTTTTCTTTCCTCTGTTATGGAGAATATAGCCTTCTACTTTAATATGATAATCTGCTCTTGATGTCCATGTCATTTAAAACTAAAGCTATCTTTATATGGAATTATATTTGTGTGCAGGAAGATGGAACTACTTCACAGTTCACGTGTGATACCATATCTGATGAGAAAACAATCCCTTTCTTAGTGTTGTGATATTTAACAAATTGCATGGTGCTTTTGTGATACCTAGTAGAGAAGCTGTCAACTCATAAACTCAATTAAAAAGCCCTCAATAAGTTAAATCAATTGGCAGTGTAAACCTGGTTCCTCTAGTTTCTTTCCTCTATACTTTGTTTTATATTATGCTTATGATTTTATTAATACAACAGCTAAAGTAGCTGTTCAAATTAATTTAGTATATAATGATTGCTTGTTCTGTTTTGTTGTTTTCCAGCTCCCTCAGGCTCAAAAGGTAAAATATTTTAATCCAATCTTAGTCATTCAAAGCAGTCACCAGTCCTTCATGTTCCCATGGTGGTGTGAGTGTGGTACAGCAGTGATCAGTGAAACAGTTCACTGTGAGGGGCTCTGGACTGGGCTGCAGGAAGGGAGCTCCCATCCAGCCCAGCTGAGGAACCTGCTGAGAGCAGCTCCTCAAATGTATGAGCTATTTTAACATGATAGGCATCTAGTAGCCTACAACTTTGAAACAACAGGGAGGCTATTTTATCAACAATTTGAAATAATAGTAAGGATTACAAAATATAAAACTACCCCATTACTCCATGTGAAACATCTCTGGATCATTTTGTCTCTGCAGAACCCGTGGTATAGCTGGTACCCTTTCACTGATCCCCGCTGTATCTATCAGCACACCTCTGAACACATTCAACATTTGACTTCTCTAATAGGTTGCATAGTTTTCGTGCTCTTGCCTTTCAACCACTTCTGCATCGATATGGTATGATAGCAGAGCCACCACTGCACGCCACGATACCACAGTGATTGTGGCAAAGGTGAAGGGTTGCTTGATGCCTGTTGCATCATCCTTATATATTTCACAAATATAATCAAAGCTTCCAGAAACTAGAAAATGTAGATGATGTTTTGTGGTGTTGGTAAAAAAATATAAAAATGAAAAAAGGAATGGAATATGCTGGGAAATTGCAATACTTACTTGTCCAAATCATTCTTATTGTTCTTGGTAACGTACCTTTAATAAGGAGACACAGCAATTAATCAGATAAACATCATTGATAAATTATGACAAAAGTTCAGTAGTTAATGAAAGCTATAGGTGAAATGATCTTCAATGAATAGCTTTCAAAGAATGGTGAGGGCCTCCATGGAAATCAGAACTTAACTCATGATTAACTAACTTTTTAGTTTAAAAAGCAAGAAATATGATATGGTAGCTTTTATTTTTATGATGCTATGTATATTCAAAATTTTCTTGTTCATAGAGCTCAGAAAATTCTATTACAAATCTGCAGCTAATGTGCTGTTTTGTGACACTGGGCTGTGTCTGTAGTTTGTTCTTGTTTTGATAGTTGCAGAACATGGTACCAAAAAATGTTGCTTTTTTTTTTTTTCTTCTGGAAATAGATGGTTTAAAGAAATATTTTGTTTACAGCTTCCAGGAAAAGTAGAAGGATTCAAAGAGTTGCTAGACTGGCTAACTTTGGCTTTTTCATATTCACCTGCTTGTCTAAATGTTTGTGCCAAATGCTTCTCTTAGTTTGCAGAAAGAAGAGAGAGTGAGGCTATAATGTGCTGGTTCAGAATGATACAACCAGTCAGGCTGTTTACCAGATTGTGTCATGTAATACTGTATTACCTATTCTGCTGTCCACAATTCTGAACTATTAAATAATATTTTGGTACAAATTACTAAAGTTCAAGGGTAGTGAAAAAGCACACAGTTTTCATAGAAGGTCAAAAATGCTGGAATTTGGAGTACTTATTCCTTGAGCAAACTAATGCAGAGCTAAAGCCACATATTGTGTACATGCCTTCATAACTGGTGAATTGTTCTAACTGACTGTGTACTGCTTTAGTGCAGAGAAAGAGGAGAGGGGTGGGAAGGAAGGAATGGGATGGGGAGGGAGGACAGGCACACGTAATTCCCAAGGGCTTTTGATAACTTCAGGCAAGAAATATTCCTTTTTATAAGCATAGCCTGACAACTTATGAACAAAATTAGAGAATCTCTTGCTCTCTGCAAGGTGAAGGGAAGCAGCACATCTGATGCATGCCTTTATGAATGACTTAGTCACTGGTGTACGTGTTTTGCCATATGGTGTCTGAACTTGTACTGTATTTTTGTTGGAATCTATGTATCATCCTGCAAATGTTTTCTCTATAAACATTTCAAACAGTCATGTCTCTCTAAACATGTTCACTTTAATCTTTGAGTGATCTGAAAGAAAAATGTGGCATTTCAAGTTTACCTTTACTATTTTATATCCATTATAAATAGTTCATCATCTTGATGAAATGTGTTATGTCTTATGTGTGAAAGACTTTGGCTACAGTCTTTTCAGTGTTTAGTCAATGTTCTGTGGTGATTAGCTATTGATTTTGAAGACCTGTAGGTTCTCAACTAGCAGTTAAATAACAATTAAAACTGTGACTGTTATGCTCTCTGCTCCAAGTCAAACCGTTGCAAATTCAGAATGAGGAGTTTAAGGTGGATATGTCTGTTGTACCATGATATTTGTCTTGAAAAGATCTTTGTGATATATCCTACACTTAATATAAGAAATAATACAGAACCAATACGAAAGCCAACAAAAAACCCCTCACCATAATTTCAGGCAATAGAGATGCTGATTTACTGTGGTTATGCAGCTCTCAGAACAAAATATATCTAGGAAGAGCTAATGTATCTGAAAGAAAGAACCATTACCAGACAAATGAAACAAATTCATTTAAATTTTACTTGTCCTCTATGTTGCTTTTCTGCATGTTTTTAGGTAGCCATCCCACAGGGCTGTGAAAATAACAGTAAAATAAACTAATAACTCAAATGTATCAATTTTCAGATTTGGTTTCCAAAATTACCTTTATCTTTGAAATGCTTAGGAAAAACAGCTTTTTGTATTCCTCAAAGAGGAAAAGCTATTCTTCCTTAATAGTTAAAAGAGGTGTTTTGTTTCCTAGTAGGAAAGCTTTACTCCCTTTCTTGAGCAAACACAGCAGGAGTCAAAAGCTGTTGCTCTACTCCTGCTGTGATGTTTTGTTCTACTTTGCTTGAGTGAAGAGGTAGAAGTGAATAAATTAGGCACACAAATCAGAAACAAGTGGTGGTGTTTAGGAACATTTAGGATTTTTTTAAAATTATTCTCTCATGAATGAAATCATATTTCCTCCATATAAAAATGTTTTGATGATATTTGTTGCCAAAAAGTTCCTGACAGCTTTCTTCTCTCTTTCTGTGTTATCCCTTAACTTCTGTAAGTAGTGCTGTGCCCTCCTTTTATCTTGATGCTATCATCTCTCAGCTATTTGGGAGCATCATTTATCATTTCCTGCATCGTTTACCTTATACTTTGAAGAGTTGAATTAACTGTCACTGGGAATAGAAAATAGAAAATTTGCAAAGCTGCTATTTTGTTGAAGTGCATGACTAGTGATTTTAGCATTTTTATAAAATGATAGTAGTTAAGTTGAATCTAATGAAGTACAAAATAATCATAAACAGTTTGATTTAGCATTCCTTTGGATCTGTTTCCTGCTGATGAGATGCTGTTGTCTCTCAGTTTCATACTGTATATAGTGATCCATTCAGAAAACCATGTTAAAATTTTCACTTATGTGTTAATTACAATCTTAAATTTAGTTTCCAAACTTCTCTCTAACATTCTTCAACAAGCAAGCTGACTTTTCATAACGTTTTTGAGTCAGCAGTTTATGAACTATAAGTAACTATTTTGCAATATGAGAGTTTTTCTTGGCATTTCATTTCTGTGTGCTAAACCTGGAAATGACTCTTTAACTTAATACACCCACACAGGTTCCTGTATTGTCTCAGGCCATAATTTAAATCTGTGCCAAAATAATAGTTACTCCTTATTCCTTTACTCTGTATAAAACACAGTTAAATTAATGAATAATACACAAGTTCCAATTCTCTGGTGCTTCCAGCCTGCCTCTTGTCTCTAATCAGCACATAAAAGTGCAGTAGTCACAGAGGAAGACAACACCTTGTGAAGCAAGTTTATGTGGAGTGGGGAAAGGCAGAAGGTGGGGGGGTTGGGAAGGTGGCAGAGTTATAACAAAGTAGTGAAGAAAAAACCAAAAGCTTTGGCATGAACCCCATAGTTCAAATACATCCCCGAGGAACTGCTGCCTGCCCTGGGTGAAGGTTCAGCAGCAGCGTCGTGGCCACCACAGTCAGCGCTGGTGCCTCGTCAGGGGGTTTGCAGTGTTCCCACAGTTTCACCCCACTTTCAGCCCCTCTGAATGTAGCAGTGTTTCCCCCCTACTTTTCAATTGTTTCTTTTCACAAGGCTGTGCAGCCTATGCCAGCAGATCTTCGCTTTGTCCTCTTTCCTTACTGATGTTCCTCAAACCCTGCTTTCTTCCAAACCTACAGACCAAAGGTTCCTGTTCATTATAGTTGCACAGCCCTCCCCAAACAGTTGCTCAGGTGCCTCCATTAACCCTGCTTAATTCTTTGATTCAGAATATTAGATCTGATTTTAAGTCTTCCAGGTATAATGACCGTGGGGTCTTTTCTGCATTTCAACCTGTTGGTGATTTGATTAAACAGAGCTCCTGTTGTGATATGCTGAAAAATCAACTAGGAACACTGTAGATCCAGGGAGATTAGAATTCAAAAGAATATTATTGGCCTAGAGATTATTCTATGAGAAAATTTGGGCATTGCTGTGGTTATTTGATAGTTTCCATGAATCAGAATTGGTGGGAGATTAATTTGACTTTACATGACACTGTTTGCTGCAACAGATACCCTGTTCTGTGGAAATGCACTACAGTTATTGCAATCCCATATGAGTGCAAAAATGAAGAATATGTCAAGCGAGAGAAAAATTTGGTCTTACTTTGTTTTGCTAAGCATTGTTTAAATTGGGAAATGAAAATTGCATAAAATTAGCACTACAAAACAGTCCTGCTAAGATTTTTTAATATATATCATAGATATAATAAATCCAAATTAAAAGTATTTTTTTAAGCTTCAGATCTCATATTTTCTTGGATGAATATTTATTTCATCTGGTGAAATTTGATGAAAAATTTTAGAAACCCTGACACAAGTTCTGGTTGTCTAAAACACAAAGTCTAAACTCTGAATGATACTAGAAAATATATGAGGTTTAGATCTCAAAATTTATTTCCTTTCTGTGATTATACTTCTAAAATCAGCAATAAAAAGTAGAATTGCCCCATCAAATCTGCCTTTTATTTAAACCAATTTGTTTATTGTTTACTTTGGTGGGGTTTTTTTGT